TAACAGAATTCCTTATCCAGGTTTCTGGTACGCAGACTGTAATATGGAGTCATTCTTTTCCTCATTCTTTTCTTCAAAATTCTCATATTCTCACGAGTCTAACCATACCAAAATTATCCAAATCCCCAATCAAAACTCAAAAATCTAAGAACTTTCCCCCAATTTTCATCCAAGTTCTGAAATTAAATGATAAATTCATGTTTAGATTAATGTGTTACAAACAAAAAGGGGTTAAGAATCGTTACCCAATTGATATCTCTGAAAATCCCTCAAAACCTCGCTCAAATCCGAGCTCCCAAGCTCTAGTTTTCTCAAAAATGGCTAAACCCTCGATTTGAAATTTTATATTCTGCCCAACTATTTCCTTCTTCGCGAACGCGGAAGGACCCTCGCGTTCGCGAAGTACAACTCCGCTTGGGTCCAGCTTCCTTCATCGTGAACGCGATGACCAATCTCCTCCTCCTTCGCGATCGCGGGAGAACCTTCGCGAACGCGAAGCATTGAACCTTCCCCAGCTCCAGCTCCTCTTAGCGAACGCGAGACCCCACTCGTGAACGCGAAGAAGGAAATCAGAACTGGGCTGCTGCAATTTTCTACAATTTCTCTAAGTTCCAAAATGGCCCGTTGAGCATCCGAAACACACCCGAGGCCCCCGGGACCTCAACCAAACATGCCAACCAATCCTAAAACATCATTCAAACTTGCTCCAATCTTCGGAACACTCAAAACAACATCAAAACACCAATTTAACATCGGATTCAAGCCTAAGAACTCCAAAACTCCCAAATTACGCTTTCGATCAAAAAGTCTATCAAACCTCGTCCGAATGATCTGAAATTTTGCAAGCACGTCACATTCAACATTACGGAGCTACTCCAACTTTCGGAATTCCATTCCGACCCTGATATCAAAATCTCACTATCGAACCGGAAACTTCAAAAATTCAACTTTCGGCATTTCAAGCCTAAATTAGCTACGGATCTCCAAAATACAATCCGAATACGCTCCTAAGCCCGAAATCACCCAACGGAGCTAACGGAACCAACGGAATTTATTCCAAGGTCGTCTTCACACTGCTCCGACTACAGTCCAATTTCTAAAACTTAAACTCTCATTTATGGACTAAGTGTCCCAAAATCTTCGAAACTCAAAACCAAACATCCCGACAAATCAAAATAGCAGAAACAAACATGGGAAAAGCAGTTAATAGAAGATCGGGGCGTTAATTATTAAAATGACCGACCGGGTCGTTACATTATCGAAGACTTCGAACAGATGTCTATTAGAAGCAAGTAGCGTGGATTTGCAGGCTGTTTTTTTCTCTTCAATTTAATAGGTTAAGGGTAATTTAGTAATTTAAGTTTCAAGTTAGGAGCATCATATTTTTAATATAATATAGATTAACTTAATGTTCACTTGAAATTTTATTCCCATCGAATAGCTGGAGCACGCTGGTTTCAAACTCTTACACGTGCACACGTCACAATCTTAGAGGTAGATAGCCATAGATATGTTGTTTGTTCACAAGTAACACAAGAAGGTAACAGTTTCTAATTGCGAGAAAATAAGATGGACTGCCTTTACCCGACTCAATTGTATGGGCTAAAATTGATTAGCGATAGGTGGATGAGCGACAAGTTGACACGTGAAAGCAAGGACAAATAAGGTATGAGTTGCTGGCATCGGTTACAAACATGTGACCGGTGTTGGGTAAATTCCGAGGACAGCAAAACCGAGGACGAAGATTTGAAAGGATTACATCGTTCGGGAAATATTGCATTCAATGAGTAGTCGTTACAAAAGATTTTATCATTTATATCCATTTGTTATTCGGCCATCAAGAGGGGTTTTATTCGTATTAAAAAGGACTTGATTTGGGGATCTTGTCTCCCAAAATATAGCTATAAATAAGAGAATTTGTATCCACGGCACAAAAGCTAAAATCTGCTCTTATTCTATAAAACTATTCTCTCTTTAGTTCTTAATATTGCTCTTACTACTTCTTCCGGAGAAGCTAAGTTCACAACCAAGCTATTTTAACAATCTTTTTTCTGTTCTTATTTCATATTCTTGGATCAAATTAATTCACATGCTTATAAACCACATTACAAATTCAACTGTACGATTTTACGAGTAAACTTCAATACGAGAAAAAGAAAAACAGCGGTACTTCGGATGTTTGCTCGCTTTTATACAATTGTTGGCAGAAATTTTATGCAAAGTAAGGCTCAGATAAATTCAATGTAATCCGTGGCTCTTGTAGGGATACTTTCAGCTTTTTCAAGGAAAATGAGTGGAACTGTAAAATAGACCAAGAGGAATCTTACAATCGATCAATATGCAGACTGATATATGCCTTCTGCGCACATTAGACAGTAAGATGCATCCAACCCACGCCATACAGCGATTGGTTGAGGGAGTTGCTAGATCCTCAAAGGTCAATCATACAACTTTGACTGATTCCATTGCATTGCCCAGAAGAAGGGGACTACAAAACATTAACCATCTAAGAGAAGGTTTAGGAGATGCCAAATGTACATCAAAACAAGTTGTAGCTGTTTTCATCCATCAGTCCCACGCTAATTTTAGCAATCTAATTACAGTTAGAGGCCACTACAACACTCAACATTGGCTAGAGGTTGACAAAAATTCTCAGCGCCCGCAAAGTTAGAACATTTGAACCTTGGAAGGAACCTCCCCAGAACAAATAGTTACAGCTGTCTTGGAGAATGTTCCACAAGTACTTCCACACGCTCTACATTTCCGTGACTGTCAGGTCCTGATGCTAGGGCTCCGTTCTCAACTCTTGTTTGAGCAGCAGCTGCATTTACCTCACTACTTGAGCCAGCATCCTCTGTGCGCACAGGGCGAAGAAAACCTTGCAACCTCAGCAGATAGCTCTGGCTAGAAGGTTGGGATCTCACATACCGGGCTGCTGTCACAAAGTTGGTTGCTGAATTTTCTGAATCAGCACGGATATTTGACAAAGCACTGAGATCAAGATTCGGAAAAACAGAACTACGGCATCTAGGGCATTTCACGTTTAGGCGAAGCCATTCATCAATGCATGCAACATGGAAGTTGTGAGCACAAGGCAGACCACGAACCTGCACAAAGGTTTTGTAATAAGAAAAGTGGTAGAAGAGCCTGAATAAAGGACAGCACCAACATAACTTGTGTGATAGTTGTTGTGTTGGCTTCTATAAACCAACCTCCTCCAACAACACAAGAAAAAGGGGGAAATAGAAAAAAGGATAACAAACTGCGAAATGGGCACAATGTCCAAATCCTGGTTCACTGGAATTAGCATGCATTTATCTCCCCAACTATCTTTCAATAAGTTAAGCGTCTTCAAGGGACACCAAAATATACAAACATCCTCTTGCTAAGCTACAGAAACCTGAGGATCATAAATAGCAACTACAGCCTAAACAACGACACCAGGCCAAGTCTTTCTCGTCTTCTTTTAACCATCTTTCTCAAAATTTAAGCTTTTAGTTTCTCTCCAATTGGATGGGGATAGGGACCATTGCATGACAATAAATATTTCCACTGGTTGGAGCAGGCACCTTTAGACTATTATTGCTCCAGTACTCCCATAGTATTGCCCAACAAGGACATTGGAAATTAATCCAACTTGCATATAGAATACTGGCCATAAGAGAAATACAGAATCGTTTGCTTGATGATGTTCACAATTTATTTAGGTGGAAGCCGGTATATAATAGTGTAGATTTGTATTATTCAAGTAAAGTTGAGAGTGGCATACAAAATGTTATTACGAAGAATGAGTCAACATTTGAGAGCATCATACAAGAAACGAAAGTCAGAAAAATTCTTTAATAATAAGGAGATTTAAAGTTTACAAAAAAACAGATACCTCATTTCCCACATGAAACTCTTCCAAACAGATTGGGCACTCACTGCAGTCAGTTGGAACAGCCTTCATCCTGAACATTGGAAGTTCTTGAATGAGTGCCTCCACTGCTTCTCTCTATGTGCCAAAAAGAAAATTCACTAGTTAAGATGAGAGAAAATTTTCTAGTCCACCAGGTGTAGCAAGGAATTCATATTGAGGACTGCGTTGAGCTGCTGACGATAAGTTTTTCAGTCATTACCTGAGCTTGGCTCAAATAAAGTCCTGGATGGTATGAAGCAGCATCTTGGCCCATCCCCCTCATCTCCTGGCCAGCAGCTTCGAATGCCCAATCTGGCACTCTGATCATGTCAACTAACACCTGTAATAAGGAAAATCCTAAGCTTGTGGAGCAAAACCAAAATAGCTTACCATGCAAACCAAATTATCACCATACACACAGGACTCTAAAAACTAGAAGTCATAGAGTATTTTCAACTAGTGGTCCAAGAAACACATTGACCATTGTGATTATTCATTTATAATCGTTCGACATTCACTTCTGATGACATAGAGCAGATTAGTTGAACCAAATTATCACGGAGATCACCAAGAGGGAAAGTGTTTACACAACTCTTACCACTGGAAACACCACAGAGACTCCCACCACAAATATCGACACAATCTCTCTATGCTGTAAAGAATACAACAAGTCGGCTACCAAGTTAACTTGTAGTAGACTATCCATAAAGCTTACAGAAATTGAACTCCTTTCCTTAATCTACATGACATAAAAAATGCATACCATTACATTCTACTTTTTTCCATCTTTTTTTAGGGGGTGCCGATTGGAGGTTTAGGAAACTCAAATACCCAGTCTTAAATAAGAAGAGGCGCCCACACAACTCCACGATTAGTCGGGCTACAGGTGAACTTGGATGACCTTGACCAGGCCAAGTATAAGTGGACAATATATCCTTACAAGAAAAATGGAGATGTGCATGCAAACCTGTGTATATACACAGCATAAAACACACACACACTCTCATATATAATATATATATATATATNTGTGTCCATTTATGTAGGGTTTATTTTTAGTATAGATACAACAACAATAACCCAGTGGTGTCCCACACGTGGGGTCTGGGGAGGATAGTGTGTAGAAACAAGCATTACCAACACCAAGTGCAAATTTTTAGTATAGATAAACAAAAAAGGCAGAAACGAGCTACGAGAATCTACTTCACCTTACGATATCTTTCTTTCATATGCACTTATAGCTGCGTCTTTTTAAGTGAATCAATTTCAGGCGCACAGTAATGTTTCTTTATCCAAAACCTAAAAAAGAGCAACTACGAGCAGTAGCATCACGTCTCACGTCTGGGTTGGGAGATTTTTGAGATGGTTCTTACTACATAGGCCCATGCAGGGTATTATGAAAAATGAACTATTCACATTAGTGCTCCATTATTACTAATGTGAGTTGTATGGAGGAAGAAAAATAAGAGAGCTTCTGAAGGAAGAGTATGATTTGTACATTTGTGGAGTAGCCTCTTATTGTTAATACCCTTTTGATGCACAGATGAGACTGCTGTTTATATAAAAGATGGGATATCATTTAAAGAGAACCATATCTTTTTGTAGACACTCTACCTTTTGATATACTATTTCTTTTATACTGACTTTCCTATCAGTAAAGAAATTAGACTTTACTTGATCAATAGAAACCTACAAAGAGCAACTTTCTAACTAGCAAAAAGCAGAACTAACTGTAACATGGAGACTGAAGTGATAGCAAAGATACCATCAATTTAATGCTTTTATACAACAAATGGAAACAAAATCGACGGGCAAAGGAAATATATAACAGGAACAACCTAATTCAAACATGCCATATGTGAAAGTTAAAATACACTAAATCAAGTATGTTTTGGGTTCTAATGCTTACCCCAAATTCGGAGATAGGAATCCCTTGTTGTGCGCGTAATAAATGGGCTTGTCTTCTAGCTAACCACTGCAGTAAGAAATTGAAAAATTAATTAAAGAAGTAATGCTGACGCCAATGGAATACTAGCATAATTGTCAATTTGCAATTTATCAGATTACAGAAATCTATTAGTTCAAATAGAGACAAGGTAACGCCAATAAAACACCAGGATTTGGAATATTCTCCCACCCTCCAAAATAGACAAGAAAAGATCACATGGGCAAGAATAGAATCAGGAGACTGAGATTATTTTCTCGGTTCGTTACAGGTAGGTATCCTTCTTTTAATTCCTCTATTCTCGGATTTCGTTTTCTTTTCTTTTTTTCTTTTTTTTAGAGGGGAAAGGAGGGTAAGCGGGAAATGAAGCTGTCCGAATTGAATTAGGCAGCAAGTAGTTATTCTTGGAAAAGTTTAGAAGATTACCTTCCCTGTCGATATGCAAGCTATGCACAGGAGTCCACAGTAGCTGAATAGCAACCAAATTAGGAAACCCCACTTTTGGCCTTCTTCTGGAAGCTGAAAGAGTTTCCACATAATATCAATTGTAGGCTTTTAAACAGAAAAGTGGAAACTGTAAAGAACAACCAGAACTTACGCAGTTTCTTGCACTAGTGAACCATAAAGTCCCAATGATGGTCCAAGCCCAAAGAAAGGGATAGAGAAGCAGGGCAAGAATAGAAAGAACAGCTATTCTTCCACAGAAACGACCATATCTTTGCTGCCAACCAAAATCCCTAAAATGCAATAACATCTAAACTTCAGTCTGGTCATCTAAGAGCACAATCCATGTAAAATGAAGAAATGACCATACGATCCAAATAACCACTCAAAAAAAGATGTCATCAAAAGTTATTAACTAATCCAATCTGTACATTGCTCGTGGCATTTACATTAAATAGTGAGGCAAGAGAACAGACTACAGAGTCAAGAAATGAACTTTCGACATACATTTCTTTTTTTCAAAAGAAGAGAATTACACCGAATCAAGCAACAACATGGGTGATATTATGTCAGGTGCAGAAAAGGTTATATCGATATCAAGCTATGCAGCTAGCACAAAAACAACACTTCAGGAAATTGTTTTTCTTACAAATTAAAATGTTAAAATTGAAAGGAAAAGGAGGGCTTACAATCCCATTCCAGCAGCAAGGCCATTATCCACAAACATCAAGAGTCGAAACACAAACACTGTTGTGTAGTCAACCTGAATTGGGAAAGGGGTTAAATTGAATCCTTCTAGAAATATAAATACGAATTAATTGAAAACAAAGCATTGATTTATTTCTTTTTCAAGAAAATTACCACGATCCAGATGTGCAATGGGTATATACAAAGATGATAGCGCTTCCAGTTGATAGCCACAATAATTCTGATAAACAAACAGTTAAAGAAACAACCGAACTACGCATACAACATGTCAATGCAAATGATTTATGGAAATAATAAACCACAAAAATAGAAAGACAAAAGCAACAAAAAGAAATAGTAGCAAAATTAGCCCCCATCATTGAAAGGATACATACTGGTAGCTAGCATTGACAAGAAGAACCCATCGTACCTACAACAATCAAAATTCAAACTCAAAAGAGTTAAAAAAAAAGTCTGATACTAATAAAAGATGAATCTTAAATTGGAAAAAAAGTAGCAGTAAAGATTAGAAGAGTGACCATTTAAAATCAACGCCTCTCATCGCCATTGAAGGCGTCAAACAACTTATAAAAACCCTAGGAGAAATCCAAGAGCTAGATTTTCATATCAACATGCAAAATTCTTGAAGTGTTGAATCTAAGCAACCAAATCGAATTTTTTGATTCCCTGATTCTGCTGTAAACCAAATAGCAACTAAGAATATTGTGCGGTATGTAAGAATGATGATATACGTTCAAAATACAGCTAAGGTATATTATAGATTGCTGTAGGGATTTGAAGAAAAAGAAAATGCGAGGATGCAGACAGAACTGGTGAACTGAAGAAGAAGAAGAAGAAGAAGAAGAAGCACTACTATTCTAATTAGGTGGCGTTTGGCAGGCTTTTCCCTTTGGTCCCGCGGAAGAATTTATCTTACACCAAAAAAAAAAAATATGTGCACGTATTGTTTTCTCGAACCGTAAATTTTATGAAATTTTTCGTAAAGCATTATCTTTTAGTAGTAATTAGTCATCTATAGATATTATTTGCTATATTACGAATTATAAATATCTTTTTTGTGGTTATAAGATGTATTTGATGTATTTAAGCTATTGTATTTATGAATACAATAGCAAAAATAGGCGTGAATCAGGGAAGTTCAACTAATCAGTTGTTGTATTCGAGTGTATTCGACTGTATTCATCGCGTGAAATATGGGATTACAGCTGGACAAACTACTATATTCGACTGTATTTACGGCGTGAAACAGGAGATTACACTATTTTTAAACGAAAAGTGTATCAATTAACATAATAGACTCCTAATATAACTCAACAAACTCAACTATAACACACAAAATTTGTATTTTCGGTTATAAAAAAGATTCTCAACTGAAAAATACCCCAAAAACATAGAAATCTTCAGAGAAATATATAATACATCTGAATACATAAATTATATTAATTAAAAAAATATATGAATACATTCATGGCATATAGCGAGACACTGAATACAATAAAATACATAGAATACAATGGGATACAGTGAAAAAACAATAAAAAAACAATGAATACAATGAAATACACGGAATACAGCAAGATACATTAAATTATAATGGAAAAAAAGACAATGAATACAATGAAATACATGAAAATACAGCATGATACGTTGAAAATACATTGAAATATATTAACAGAAAATCAAGTTGCTCAGCCCCAAAACTCTGTCGTCTTTGCTCAAGAACAAACCCTAATTTCCGCCTTGTAGCCAAATAGTCCTTCCATCTTCAAAGATCTTGCAGAACACTAATTGAATCGGAACTTACAGAATATTAAATCGAAACTTAATTGGTTTCTTGTCTAGTTATCCGCATGGAATGAAATCCAGGCATCAATGAAAGATAAATATGTGATGAAGTCAAGAATTGTAAACTTGGTGAGGTTGGGTCTTCAGCGACAGAATACAGCGAGATAATCACTAACGATTTCGTGGATTTGCTTCGGCATGATTGGGTCTTCAGGTTAGGGTTTGTTGTTGCTATGCTGCTGGTCGCTAGATTTTTCAGTTGAGAAGGTGTCGTTAGAGGGAGGAGGAGAGCGAAAATTTTAATGGGATGGGGGAAGAGAATGGGATGTATCAAAGTAGAGAGAGAAAGAAAATAGTGTAACTGAATAGTGTATTTAGTGGCTTAGAACTAGGAGGTAACCAAAATTAAATATTTTGCTATAAATATTAAAAGGTATCTATAGAATATAATTTTTTAAAATGGTATTTATTTAAAACAAATAAGGTGTTAACCTTTGCTATAGGAGGTAAAAATTCCTAAATTTTATTCTTATAATTAAGGTTGTTTATCGGGCAAATTAGGCAGTTATTTACTCTTAACGGTTTAGCTTATCGATTACCAACTTTTAAATATATTAATCCGCTAGCCACCCGATAAGATATCGGGCGAATTGGTATCGGTTTAGCGGTTATCAGGTGCTTTATTAGCCTAATTCAATCAAAATAAAATTTAGTCAAATAGGTGGTCGACGTACTAAGAGGGACGAAGCAGACGAGACACCATGATGGACAAATCATCTGTCTAGAATCTTATTTATGTTTATGCACATTGGCCTTAGTCCATGTGAAAGATTTCCAATTGGCCGTTTTTAAGCAAATGTTCGTCAAGCTTAGAATTCTAGGATGCCTTAAAACCCAGGCAAAATTGATGAAGCAATGGTGTAACTGGTGTTATTATCTTGTTTCAGACAGCAAATTATGTCTTTTGTCACAGTTAGATGACTGGTTTTATTTGGCTTTCTTTTATTCTAATTCATTTTGATAGCGTACTGGAGGAAAAAAGGTTTTTGATTATTTAATATATATATAGATAAAAATAAATTTTATATGTATATATATATATATNCAATCTGTTCCCCGTCCGTTAAACCGTTAATCCGATACCAATAAGCCATTAAGTTTCGGTTTCGGTTCGATTTTGAACACCCCTACTTACAACTGAAAAAATAGTAGGAAAATGCTAAGGACCCGTTTGGTTATAGATTCCTAAATATATTTTTAGAGAAAAACCTAATTTGGTGAAGTTTGATGTGAAATCGAAAATGTATTAGGACATGAATTTTGGGCAAGTTTTGAGATGTTAAAAAGTTTTTTTTTTTTTTGTTCTTTTTCAGCTAAAAAATCTCAAATGGTCGTGATTTGATCCAAAAAGAGGTCTTAATCTATATTTGGAATTTGAAGTTTTGGTTTTCAAAATCTTCTAAATATTAGATTAATTCTATAAACAAACACATATTTAAAAAAAATTGAAAATAAAAAATTTCAAAACTTATCGCCAAACGCCTACTAAAATATTAGTGGTTGCACTTCAATTTATCCCGCGTTCTTTTAGTATTTTAGTTTGTCTAAAAAACAAAACGAAAAATTAGTAACAAGAAAAAATATATATATGTATATTTGGAAATCATTTAATTATAACCTTTACATTATATCTTTTAGTGATATATGTTGAGAAATAACACTATTAAAATGCAAGGAGTAATTTAGTCATAACACACTGAGTTAGTTAAAGTTAGTTAAGGAGGTTAAATAGTTGTTAAGATCATCTTAGTTAGTTAAGCTCATTAGTTAGATTATATAAATAATTCATTGTAACACATTGGAGATCAGATTATTGAGATAATAATGTCTAATTCACTCTGTGTGCTCTCTCTCTCTCTCTCTCTCTCTCTCTCTCTCTCTCTCTCTATCTATCTATCTATCTATCTCTCTCTCGCGTCACTTCCAATCCTCTTCTTCCTCATCTCTGCCTATTCTTTTCTTTATCCTCTTCTTCTTGTTATATACAATTGTCACTTAGTTAAGAAAGAATTCATGGTATCAGAGCTTATGCTCGAAGAATTTCGAAGCTAAACTTCAATCTTTGAAAAAATTCAGAAAAGTTCTTGAGCTAAAGATTCAATTCAAGAGCAGTCAAGAATCAGAAAGAAAAAACTCAAAGAAATGAGTACTAGCGGAGATTCAGTGGATAATGGAGGTGTCAATGATGTACATGCAAACAATCCAATGAATGGAGGAACTGCAGTTGCCGGAGTCGACTATAACCATCCCTTGTTCCTATCGCCGACAAATGGAAGTGGTATTCAAATTATCTCATTTCAGTTGACTAGGATTAAAAATTATACAATTTGGCAAAGATCTATGTGTGTTGCTCTGTTGGGTAGAAATAAATTAGGCCTAGTAGATGGAACATGCAAGAAAGAAGTTTTTCCAATAACAATGTGGAATCATTGGGAACGTGTTAATGCAATAGTTTTGTCTTGGATTATGAATTCTGTGTCTAAAGGACTGTTAGAAGGAATCATGTATGCCTCTAGTGCTCAATTAGTGTGGGATGATCTTTCTAAGAGGTTTAACAAAATTGATGGCATACGATCTTTTAATCTTCATAGAGAAATTGCAAATCTAAGCCAAGAAACAACATCTGTTTTTGTGTATTTCTCCAAACTTAAGGATATGTGGGAAGAGTTTGAAGCATTAGTGCCTTCACTAGGATGTGATTATCCTAAGTCTAGAGATTTTGTTGTGTATCTGCAGAAACTGAAACTATATCTGTTTTTGATGGGGTTAAATGAGTCATATTCTCAGGCTAGGGGTCAGATTCTTATGAGAAGTACACTCCCAAAAGTCAATCAAGCTTATGCTATAATTGTTAGTGATAAAAGCCAAAAATTAATTGTTGCAGTTGCTGGAATTCTAGGTTCAAATCCAAGTACAAATGTAGAAATGTTTGATATTGCTCTATATACAAGAACTACTGGGAAATTCAAGAAAAATTACAATTTGTTTTGTGATTACTGCAAGTTTAAAGGTTATAGTAACGAAAACTGCTACAAACTGGTAGAATATCCTCCTGATTTTAAGACAAAGGGAGAAAAGGTACTGGAAATAATATTGTTGCTTATAATGTGATTTCTGATCAATTGGGATACAATGAAACAAAGGAGAACAATTCTGTGAATGAAAATGAAAGAAAATCTGAAGATCAAATAGTTGCTAACAGTACTAGTTTGAATCAGTTAGGGAATCTTGGTACATGCACTCTTAGTAGAGAACAATATGATCAAATCCTGCAGCTACTCAATAAAATGCATACTGTCAGTTCAGAAGAAAATTCTTCAGCAAATGTAGCAGGTATATGTAATGCCTTAATAGTTACTACTTCTGCAAAATGGATAATTGAAACTGGTGCTACTAATCACATGGTAGCAGATATAAATCTGATAAACAGTTTTACTGTCAAGCAAACTCAGTGTCCTAAGAAAGTGTATATGCCAAATGGTGATCTAGCTTATGTTACACATACTGGCACTAGCAGGTTATCAAACAGTATATCAGTGTCAAATGTGTTTCATATTCCTCAATTTAAATACAACTTGCTCTCTGTTGCTAAACTAACAAAGGAATTACAGTGATCACCCACTTTCTTTCTTGATTTCTGTATTTTTCAGGAACTCTTCACTGGGAAAATGAAGGGGATTGGTAGAGAAGATTATGGATTATACATTTTTGAGTGCTCAGACAGCATAAGGAAATAAGATGTTATGTTAGGTGCCAGAAGTGAAGATATTCAATCAAGTTCAAATATAGTAGATGTAGATTTATGGCACAAAAGATTTGGCCATGTCTCGACTAAAGTTCTGAATAAAATCATTCATGTAAAGACAGATATAATAACTAGCAAGTTAAATAAGTGCACAATCTGTCCATGTGCAAAACAGACAAGGATTACATTTTCTACAAGTAGCATAAACAACTGAGTGTTTTGCTTTAGTTCATGTGGATTTATGGGTTCTTTATAGGATTGCCACTCATGATGGAAATAAGTACTTCTAAACAAT